CCCCCCCGCAACACAACCACCCCCAGAAACCCAACCCCCGCACACCTGACGATCAGCGCTGCCGGACACCAGACCCTTCCCGTCCGGCCTGAGGTCTATCGACCAGATCGCCTTCTCGTGGGCGGCGTAGTCCTGGATCATCTCCCCGGACCCGAGGTCGACGACCTGGAGGTTTCCCTCCTTCGTGCCGACCAGCAGGTGGCGGTCCCCCGGCGCGAAGGCCACCGTGAGGCCGAAGCCGCAGGGCGCCGAGCGCACGCACTGCCTCGTCCTCGCGCTCCAGGCCTTGGCCAGGCCGTGCGAGACGGACGCGACCATCGCGCCGTCCGAGCTCACCGCCACCGCGCGGACGTCGCTCCGGTGGCCCTGCAGGTCCAGCACCATCATCCTCGACGCTGCTGCTGCTGGTGCTGCTGCGTCACCCCCGCCGTCGTCTTCGTCGACACCCTTTGCCTTTTTGGAAGCCTTGCCGGCGCCGGCGTGGCAGCAGCCCTCGAGACCCCACACCTCCATCGAGTTGTTGTGGAGGGAGACCAAGACTCGGGTGGAGTCGAGGCCGTCGCCGCCGCTTCCGCTTCCCCTACCGCCGCGCCTACCGCCGCTACTGCTACTTGCCGTCATCGACGGCGCGAAGTCGAACGACCGCACTCGGTGGTCCGTCCTCAGCACTACCGACGACTCCAGCTCGTCCCCGGCGACGATGCTATCTGTTAATGTACTTCTTCCTGCTTCGCCCGTCGCCGCCGCCGCACCCTCTTCCCCCCACGCGCCGTCGACATGGTCCGTGCCTGCTGCTGCTGCTGCTGCTGCTGCGGCGGCGGCCTTGAGTGATGCCTTCTCCTTGGCGCGCTTCAACCGCCTGCAACGCGGGAAATAAAGGTGGCACCAGCGACAGCGCCGGCGCGGCAGCGTACGTCAACACATTAAGACGAAACGTAAGAGATCAGCACACGCCAACAACGCAGTCAAGGAAAAAAAACAAAACGATATGCCCCGGCCTCGGCGCTTATCGAACAGGTGGCGCATCCCAAAACGGAACATAGACGCTCCAACACCTTGCAGAACAGAACACAGCACGACGAAACAGCAAAACCAATCTAACAACATCTCCTCCTTCCCTCCAGCCTGGTTGACAGCCATGGACAAGCTTCGCCACCCCAGGTTTCCATGCTTGAACTATGGCTACTGCTGTAACCAATAACAACTAACACACATAACGAGTTGCGGCATACCGTTCTTGAACTACAAAAACACGCTCTGTAAAAGCCAGCCAAAGCGAGCCCGTTTCGCTCGAAAAAAACACGGACAAAACGTGCGAGGGGGACCGACCAACTCACTCACCTCTTCATCTTCTTCTTCGCCTGTGCCTCATCCCGGACACGAAACACCTCCAGGGCCTTCCCCGCCCCTTGAACTCCCAGCAGCGGGCCACCGCCGTGAAATCGCACACGGGCCGCTCGGTCTGAGGGAAAAAGGAACCATTTTTGATGCGCCAAAAAACAAGCCGCCAGGAGAGAGCGATGAGCAAGCGGCTGGAAAAAGGGGAGGCGGAGCAGCCGCCCTTCACAAAACACGTGCCGTGGCCTCCATAGATACGCGTGCCCGCTCGCGGTGCGGGTGCCCGGTACAGAGCGCGTGAAATTGGCAAGGGCTGGTGGAACAATCAAGATAGTTGACGCTCCAACAGGCAGCGCGGGTGCCCCGCCATGGTGCCGGCGTGGCGCACTGCCCGCACTGTAGAGGGCACCCGACTGCATAATAAGGGCCGCTGGCTTCGTCAGTGGGAGTCGTCGTGTGCTCCTTCTTTGTGCTATTGGCAATGGCGGCTATAATAGCGTGTGCGTCGGTCTTACCGCACGTGTGATAAAACTGTACTGATTCGTCCCAACTACTGTCTAGTTTCTGCAAGGGATCCCTCCGGATGCGTCCCATGAGAGCATAGCAGTGTCGTCTAGGGGGGACACAACATGAAAATATTAGCAGGCAGCAGCTCCAATTCACAGCTGACTGCCGCTGCCGTATGATGTGTCCCAAGCTCAACAGCTCGCACACCTCACGTGTTTCTTGACTCGAACAACCCAGCGAACCTTAACGAACGGAAAAAGAAAAAAATTATTAGCACAAATCTGCAAGTCTTAATGGTCACCCCGGAGGCGGGCTAACTCATCAACTGGTTTATTTGCCGGTCAAATGCTGTCGAGGACCAGACAACGAGCCCCATGGTTCGATTCACACCTTGTACTGACTCTCACCGTTCCCTTGCCGAGCGACGGATCCCATATACACCGCCACGACGTCCTCCTCGACACCATCGCCCGCGTCGCTCTCCTCTTCCTCGCCATCCACCACCATACCCGCCGCCTCCGCCTCCGCCGCCGCCACGCTGTCTTTTCCTCCTCGCTGTGAATCCAGCGCCCACACGCGAAGCTCGTTGTCGCTCGCGCCGGTGACTAGCCTCGTGCAGGAGGCGTTTACGTCCAAGCTCCAAACCTGCGGAACGGCATGACAAAGGGCGGCGGGGGCGGATGTCAAGCGACAAACAAAATGTCTACAACACAAACGGGCGTGGTGATGAAGATCCCGCCTTGGAGGGTGAGCTTGTGCAAAAACGGTGGTGGGGTCGGGTGGCTGGTCGCCCAACGGGGGATAAGAGCACATGACAGATGTCTAGGGGGAGGGGGGGGGGAGCACCATGACACCCACACAAAAGACAGCCCTCACTTGCTGCCCCCAAAGCAGCGGCAGAGAAACCTCAAACGCATGCGTCGTCATCGGCCAAGCTTTCTACCGCTGCTGCTGCCGATGCTTTCGTTCGTTGTAAGCGTGTGCTTCCTGTCAGGCAGAAATCTCATGAGCCCACGGAGGCTCTGGCCGACGTCTTTTGAGGGCGTCAGCCAGAGCAGGTCGCGCTCTGTTTGCTGTAATCATCCAGGAAGACAAAAAACCAACACACACAATGCTGAACAAGGTTCAAACAAAAACCGCGCTACACCTACACACATCGCAACATGAGACCCATGCACGCGGGCCCAATAGAACGTTCCATTTCCGCACCGGCAAAAGCATAACGATATCACCGTTACCATACAGGATACGTACGCATAGCACCGGCACTATTAGAGGTAAGACGTGGGGTTGAGGTACAGTATTTCATTTGGGCAACCAAGGCCGTGTGTGTTATTAACACCTGTACCGACCGCGCCCACCGGCTGGCCATTGAAACGACGTCAGTCTCAGCGCGGTTGAAAACAGTTGAAAAAAAAGTATTTCTAAAGGCCATAATCTGCTGTTTGTGAAGGTATATTTACGTACTACGTCAACAGCGACGTGGTTTTGTTCCTGTCAGGCAGAAATCTCATGAGCCCACGGAGGCTCTGGCCGACGACTTACTACAAAGGCGCCAGCCAGAGCAAAGTCGCGCTCTTTTTTGCTGTAATCATCCAGGAAGAAAACCTACACAAAAAAATCGGTCATCCTGTAGGTGTGGGTGGTGTGTAGCAGTCCCCGCTTTTGAGGGTTCCAACACTTTCGATAGTTGAGGGAAATGGGGTTCACTCCTTCCTCGCGTGCCCCAGTCGTTTGACTATTGGCCGCACATTTCTTGCGATACGCGAAGCAGTGCCTACATGCTACCTACACCGCCTCCGTTCAAGACCGCTGACGACGGGCCCGAGCCTCTGATAAGCGCGATTCAGAGAGCAGGAGCTGATCGACCCATCGAAGCAGCGTGATATTTTCCTCTTGGCGCTGAGAAGATGAGGATACCGCCGCCCTTTGTTTCCCGGTCAACAACGACATCTACCAGTCGCATCGATTCGTAGACGGGAAATTCATCGACATCCGTCCGAAAATCTGAAAAGACCGGTTTTCGTAGTGTCTCTTAGAGGCAGTTGTGCGCTTTTTGGCTTGCGGGGAGTCAGGCCGAGGGATCGTCGTCGATTTTATCTTTTAAATGATGTTCGGAAGCATGTCGATGAATTTCCCGTCCACGAATCGATGCGACTGGTAGATGTCGTTGTTAACCGGGAGACGAAGCCTACAACAAAATGAACTTGTTGCACACGAGAAAGATCTTGCTCTTCTTTTCATCCCCGAAGGTTTCGGAGGTATCCAGAATCGCTGCCGCAGCCAGCCGACCAGAGGGTGGGGCATTCACGGAAGCTCTGTTGCTGCAGGTACGTAGTGCAAGCGGCTCAAAAACACCGTCTACACTTCAAACACATCCAGCAAATTAGACACAGAAGTTCCATCCCGTCAGGCAGAAATCTCATGAGCCCACTGCGGCTCCAGGCTGCGCCTCGCGGGCGACGCCCGAAGCAAGTCGCGCTCTATATTGCTGTAATCATTCGGGATGGTCGGAACAATAAGGTAGGATGGACACCATCCTGCCGTCCGGTCGGCACTGTTACCCGTCGGGGAGCTGGCGGAGTCTGCCATGAACCCAAGGCAAAAACCATCCCGGACTTCTATTCACGAGTATATGGACAAGAGTTCCCTTGTTTACTTTCGAGAGAATCACAAAGAAAATGCAGACACGAAGCCCATGTACCCACCCACAAACACAACAGCAGTGAGGTCAAGGAACTTGCCCCAAGACTACACTACTGAAGTAGCTGTACAGATCGTGAATAACACACCCCTGTGTTGTAAGCCCGATTGCTCTACAACCAAGAGGTCACGAAAGCAGACCGATTATGTCCAAGGAAAGCTCTCGGCGAGATCTTTCCTACAACTACCCTGTTTGGTAATGCCACGCCCCCCGATTGTGCGGGCAAATCGGGATTTCAAAGTCGGCCAAGGGTACGGTATATATATGAATACCCAAGGGGGCACACAAGGAATGAATGTAGTTTCGTCGGATTTTGTTAAGATGCGCGTTGTAATGTAAACGCCACACTCGCTCTACCACCATTAACAGAACGTGTAAAGGCATCTGAAGAGTAGATATTTCGAGTCTCGTAAACTGTAACGTCCTCTGTTCCTTAACGGTAGCTGTGGTGGTGCGATGATACAGCCAATCTCTAAAACTTCACTAGTAAACCCGTCGCAGCTGTTGCGACGGTGGCGGGGGGGGGGGAGGTTGTCCGTCCTGTCAGGCAGAAATCTCATGAGCCCACGGAGTCTCTCAGCCGACGACGCGCGCACGAGGGCGGCGAAGGCCAACCGAGAGAGAGGCGTCGCGCTCTAGTTTGCTTGTAATCATCCAGGAATCGACGTGGTTGAAGGCAGCCACCCGTCTACAGCCCATCCTTTCCGGCGCGGTGATAACAAAAAAACTATGGTGTCGGCACTGCTGCTGTACAATCTTTTCCCCGATCCAAACCTCACGTCAGAAAACGAGAAACACAACAAGAGCAACCACTATTAATAGGGATCTCTCGTTTCCTGCAGGGGAGATTGAACCTGCTGGCCATGCACGCCATATGTTAATATTTCGCCGGCCCATTAACATTTCGCGCCAAGCACGGTGGTGCCCGGCTTGTACGATAACATCAGCAGCTATCTCGTACAAAGGACATGCCAGGGTGGGGGTCGCGTAGTACATAGTGGTTGAATTAACCAGCGCTTGAGAGTCCGTTCCGCACACACAGATAGCACCCTCCCGTTAATGAGAAACTGGAAATCAGGTCCAGGTTGAGCTTCGGATCCTAAGGGTAGGTCTGTTATGTAGGGATTGGTGTAGCGCTAAACGCTCAGGTTCCACGGTTTCTTCCTGCCCCAAAAGATTTCAGCCTGGTTGTTTTTTCTACAACCGTGTTCCTGACAAGCGCACGGGTGAAACGTTCAAACAGATCGATTCAGCGCGCAATCGCAATCGCATGCGAAGCACGTCGAGACGCGCACACGCGCTCTCGTGAGCTCCTGTATCACTGCTGTCCACATCCCGTCACTGTGAGGCATAAGCAGTCCTCTCATTAAAACGCCCCCAGATCCGCCGCAACTCCACTTTCTCCTAAAACCGCGGAGCCAAACTTGAGCGGGTGCTCGCCGTACGCCATGCCATGTGTACGGGATAAACATGCGAGGAAAGTCACGCCGCCGGTGCTGAGCGCCTCGGCGGTATACTAGGAGATTTTTCGCCTCGTCTACTCCTAGGAGGCATCAATCCGTCTCGCGAGGGAGCCGGCCGACATCACGCACGAAGCGGAAACCTTTGTAGACACATAATACTCGCGTGCATGGGATAGAAGTATACGCCTCACCTCACCCCGGTGCCCCACCACCGTCTGCACGCAGCTCTGCGTGTCCAGGTCCCACAGCTTCACCAGAGTGTCCTTGCTGCACGACGCCAGCCCGTTCCTCAGCCTGCACCCGCCTGGCACGACCCCGCCCCCGCCCCCGCCCCCACTTCCCAAGAACACCACGTCCGTGACGCCGTCGCGGTGCCCCCTCAGGCGGTACAGCCCCGACTCCGCCACCGCGTCCCAGACCACGATGTCGGTGTCCGCGGACCCCGACGCCAGTAGCGCGCCCGAGGCGTGGTAGCGGGCGGCCGTCACCGCCGACCGGTGGCCGTGGAGGGTTACGGCGGTGGCGCCGGTCTTGAGGGAGAAGAGCAGGACGAGGCCCGACGAGTAGCCGGCGGCGACGGTGCTCCCGTCCGGCGAGAGGAGGAGGCTGGTTACCTGAGCCCTGCTCGCCGCCGACTCGCCCTCGGGGCTCAGCAGGCGCACCTGTTGGTTGTTGTTTGGAGGATGGGGTGGTGCTTTGGATGGGTGCATGCGCAGCAGCCCTAAGGGATGGGGGAGGGGTTGTGCTTAGGACCGGACACTCGCTCGTACTGCTGTACTCTCTCTTTTGGCGTGCAGACGGGTTCAAAGAGATGCACATCTACGTATGTACCGGTTGTATTGGCCGTAAATGATGGAACATTCCATGTGAACGGGAGTAGCATGTGTCTTGAGCGACACCCAGCTTTGAAGCCGACGATTAGGACAGCAAGACTAAGCAGTCGAAGTCCATCAGTAGTGCCGGTGCGCGCACGACCAACACACCTGAAACCGTCTGCTATTGCGGCACGTGCAATGGTAATGGTGTTACATAAAAATAGTATCAACCATTCTGGTGAGTTCTTCCCTCCCAAGCCGTGTCAAGCGATGATGTACCTGGCACTGCTGTACCGCGCAGTGGCACTACGTAACCGGCACTACAAAGAGTCCTCGTCTGTATTGTTAGGCGCTTAGACGATGGAATACGAACAACATATTCTCTCACTACAGCCAGCTGGCTCTTACCCTTTGTCGATGTCTGAAGTCTCAAGTACATACGTGTAACGGGCTCTGTGGACCAGCCAAAAGCCCTACACTGGATTCGGGTGTGTCTTCGCAAGATTTAAGTTTCGATGTCCAGCACATACCGTCTTTTTTAAGCAGGCTGCATGACGAACCAACGGAGTGCCTACTGATCGCTTCATCGTGGGCTCTGGCAAGACGTGCCATCGATCAGCGTGTGGAAGCGAGTGCTGCAAGTAGCCAAGAGAGCTCAGCGGCCGTGCATCATGATACAGCAGTGGACAGGCGGAGACTGTTCCATTTCGACATGCCCAGATGGGCAGCAAGCACACGCACAAGCAGACGTTGAACACCGCGAAGCTTTCTGTCACAGACCCACCACTCTTGTCCCCCTATTTCTTCTGTACAAGTAATCTCTGCCCTTCCCTATCTGCTGCGCCGTATCTCACCAACGAGCATTGCCGCAGGTTCCACACAGCGACATCGTGTAGGGCTGCGGAGATGGCAAGGTTGCCCGTCGAGTCGTAGACAACATTGCTCTGCGGCGACGCGACAACGCCAAAGGTCTCGCTGAGCTCATACCGCAGGTAGGTCTTGTTCATCTCGCTTCCGGCGTCAAGACGTGGGGCACCAGTGCTGCAGCCGAGTGTGCACAGCTCAGCAAGACACCGGCGAGGCTCCGTGAATGCACACAATGCGGTACAAAGGTACCCAAGATATCGTAATACTCCTCCGGCTGGCCCCCACAGGCAACCAGCAGCAGAGCAGCAGCAGTTGACATGGTCGTCTCGCTCTTTGGCGAAGCGTAACAGCACACACAATCCGTGGCTTTGTTGCATAAGAGCTGGAGCACCCGGGCGTCACGCTTTTTTATTTGAGTCCTAGACATTGGGCTGTGTGCTGGACGAACTGCTGTTGCTGCTGTGGGGCTACGTCGTCTTTTCTTCACTCTCCCCCAACGGGACGCACACCAAATTCACGTGGGGAGAGCTACACCAGTAGCTAGCTCACCATGGCCGAGCCTGGAGCACCAAAGACTTCGGTAGAGTTCAAGGTGCGCTGCTCGAAAGGTTGCATGCTGACTCTACGGTTGTGATTATGCTGGTCTTGCTCTCGGTGCAACCGATTGACATTCGGTGACAGCACACTCCTGCTGTTCGCGTGCAACATGACTTCTCATTTGGAATCCATTAGGACGGCCTGACTGCACCTCGTATCCCTCTGGTCTACCTACCCGTTCGGTGTTTGCTCCGCTAGTGTTGTGTTGCTCTGTGGTGCTGGTAGCAACGGTGCATCTACCAGACGCCCTCTTTAAAAAAAATACGCAGCAGCGCGGTATACTGCACAGCACGGTACTGCTGCTGTTTATGTAGACGGACGGAGAGTGCGAAAGAACATCGCAAAGAACGACCGGACCTTGACTCTCCTTTGTGCCGCGTACAGATGAGAACTCCCTCTTGTGTTCTCACTTACCACGCGCACACGAAGCCGTCTTTCAAGCGCAACAACGCCATCGCTAGCGCAAAGTACGCTCTCGAGGATATTATGCCAGCAAGACGACGAGAGCAACCAAGTTTGTAAATGATTGCTCCGTGTCTATAATAGAAGTACCATGTTCTTTGGCTTGCGTACCGACCGCCAACGAAGCCCGGCAAAAGAGATGCAGTCACGCGTTTCAGGACGCGGCGCAACAGCAGCAGCGGTAGCAGCGATCGTCGTGGCCGCGTAATGAGTCGGGTGTGAGCACCCCACGCCCACTGAGTAAGAGAGCAATGCAGCTAGATACATGTATCGGTGCCATTGGGATGATGCGGGGGAGCGACACAGAAGAGGCCGCTACTGCTGTACATCCCCGGAACGTCTATACACGCAGGTTCTCTGCTGCGGGTAGTTGGCACCGCCGTCGTACAAATTGCAGTTGTCAACGTGGTGGTTGTTTGTCTGTTGTGCCTTTGTAGGCTATCGGACAGATCGCTACTGCTTTGTCTGGCATATATGCGCGGTTGGTTATGTTTGGCCTACTCCATGCTGCAGCATGTGGAACGGTTGTGACCCGTGCAGCGGATGGAGTAACATTGTGTTGTCGGTGGACACGATTTTTCTTCTCACACGATAGTCTACATACACCTGGTAAATATGGTGTTCTTCACATGTACTTGAGTTTTCACGTTTGTCCGTATATGGTAACTTGTTTGGGTTCAAGTCAGTATACGACAGTCCAAATTCGTTTCCATGTCCATGCCATCTGAAGAAAAGAGACATACTTGACAGACGACAGGGTTTGGTGAGGACATCCAACAACAACAGCAGCGGTGTGAAACGTGTTTTCACATTTCCACAAACCGCTGTTCCCCTAACTACTCTGGTGGATGCCACTGTTGTTTGTAGGTGTAATCTCTCCGTGTCTCCACCTGTTGATAGGGCGATTAGGAAATGATTAGGGTTTTTGGTGGGAAGCTCCTCTCTCTCTACTTACCGCCACCACCGTGCTTTCGTGCTTTCCTCTCGTCGTGCTCTGCTGTGTCGGGGGGGGGGGGGGTTCGGTCTCGACCGGAGCAGGTGGTGGTGCTGGGAGACAAAGGGGTGGGCAAGACGTGCCTCGTGCTGAGGTTCATCGAAGGCTACTTCGCACCCAAGCAGCAGAGCACCATCGGCGCCTTCTTTCTGACCAAGCAGATCACGTGAGAGAGAGATTGAGAGAGGGAAAGAAAGGAAGAATGTAGGCAATAAGAGCACGCTTGTCGCCCGAGAAGCCTGATTGTCGAGGTATGGTAGTGGTACCTGTATAAAGGGCGTGTTAAAAACAGCAGCTTTTTCGCTTCCACATTTCCAAATTTCCAAATCCGTAGACCATACAACCTCGATTTGCGGCCGAGGAAAAAAAATGGAATTTTGGAAAGTTGGAAATTTTGGAAACTGTTGGCACCGTAAATTTTGGAAGGAAAATGCTTCCAATTTATGTGAAGAATCTGAAAAAAAACTGCGAAGTCCGAATATGGACATGTGGAAATTTGATAGCGAAATGGCTGTGTTTAAAATGGCTCGATGGCGACATCAATGAAGGCCCAATGACGGAAACACCCGCGGTTGACACCACTAATACTGCTGTCTTGAAGACGTTACCAAGATAGGTTGCAGTGTCTCTCCACCTCTTTTCTCTCCCTCCACGCCCTCGCCTTCTCTCTATCTGCCGTCCCTTCCTCGTATCACCAATCAGTGATTGAGAAAAACTGTGATCCTCCGTCTCGGAAAGGGATACACGGTCAACGCTAAAAGAACGGCAGCACAAGAGGAACAGTTTAGAGCGCTCACCACTCCCCCGTCCCGTCGATAAATAAACAAAAAACAATTCACGCAGGGCAACCGACGGTACAATTTGCAAGATGCAGATCTGGGATACGGCGGGGCAAGAGCGGTTCCGCGCGATGGCCCCCCTGTACTACCGCAACGCGGCGGTGGCGGTGGTATGTTTTGACATCATGGACGAGGAGTCCTTCCAGAAGATGAAGGACTGGGTGGAGGAGCTGCGAACGAACGTTCCAGAAGGAAAGCTTGTCCTTGCCATCGCATGCACAAAGGTGACAACAGCAGCAGTATCCATTTCCTGACGTGACTTCCACGAACTGTTATATCTTGTCTTGAGTGTAGTGTTTATAAGAACACCTGCGTACATGCATCATCCACCCCCAGGTCGCAAGAAGAACATGTTCTTCGTGTGGGCCCAGATCGCCGCCTCTGCGCTTTTCAGTCTTGGCCGACTCAAGCAGATAGCACAGCCAGTGGGCTGCCTCCGGCATCCCGCGAGCGCGGGCTAAACATGTCGCCTTGCACTAGAAGGAACTCTCACACATGTTTTCTGAAGCCATTCCACCTCCGCCATGAAGAAGCAAGAGCCGCGTGAGCAACCACCTTCGGGTCAACTCGTGTATAACATGTTCACACACTTGCGTTATTTCCAATGCTCACGTTAAGTTCGCACGTGCACCCTCGCCCATCCCCC